GGGGGGGGGGGGGAGAAGGAGGGTAGATGAGGGTTAGAGGGTGAAATGGTGCGGGAGTGGGCGGAGAAGGGGGGACGGTAGAGTCGAGGAGTAACGGCCCCAAATTAAACACACCCCCACTGTTTGAGACGTGGCCTAGCAACGGCAGGACGGCCTTACACCGAGACGGAAAGCACCAATGGGGGAGATGCGGGTTATCGCCGGTTACTGACCTGACTGTAGGAAGTGACGCTACAATCGGTTCGGCTCCAGCAGCCTCGCGGTGTCCGTTCGAACTCGAATTCTATCCCGTCCCCGCGTAACTACTCCTCCACCCACTGCTGCCAGGGGGCGTGGCACCAGCTCCGTCACAATCATCTCGCCTCAGCTCCTCCAATCATGTGCTCAAGTTGCGCCCCAACCGGCCGCAAAAGGCAATCACACCCAACCAGCGGGCAAATAAGCCCCAGGTAAGGGCAAAGGAGCTGGCTCTCAGTTCATTCGCGAAAGTCCCGGTTAGCGAGGGCTCAGCTCAGTTGGGAAAGTCCCCCAGGTCGGGGAGGTCTCAGTTTGCGGCCACGTTCTTGTTAAAGCGTCTTTGATGACAGTTTTAAAGTGCTGCACTTCTTTCTTGAATAGTTCACTTGTCTTATTGCTACCCGGAAATGTTGTTTTCAATAGAGGATGGGAACAAACCTTTCCAGTTGTGTCTTTCAATTTGTGAACTGTTCTATTTTCTATCACTGTTTCTTGTTGCATGAGTTTTTTTTTTCAGATGTTGTGAGGAATGATGAATGTTTACTACATTTGTTTTTTTTATCGTTTTATTGTTGGTTGCTGACTGTAGATTTAACTGCATGATATTTCTAAATAAAAGTTTTACTATATGTTTATAATAAAGCATTCACTGGAAACATTGAATTTTTTGCTGCACAGAACTACTGAGTATTTTCAGCAGTTTCTGCTTTAACTTCAGATTCCTAGCATTTGTTCTATTTTGTTTTTGTCACCAAATAGATTACACTGCTACTCCCTTGAGAGTTAGCAAGAACTGCACATGCTGGAGTCAGAGACAACAGTGTGGAGCTGGAGGAACACAGCAGGCCAGGCAGCATCAGAGGAGCAGGAAAGTTAACCTTTTGGGTCAGGACCCTTCTTCAGAAATGGGCTAGGGGGAAAGGAGCTCAGAAATAAATAGAGGAGGGGTGGGGATGGGGAAGGTAGGTGAGATGGTGACAGGTGAGTGCAGATAGGCAGTCGTGGGGATTGGTCAGTGAGGTGGGAGGAGTGGATAGGTGGGAGAGAAGATGGACAGGTTGTGTCAAGTCATGGAGGCTGCGATGAAAGGGAAGGTTGGTCATGGGATGAGGCCAGGGGTGGGGAGATTTTAAAACTAGTAAAGTCCACATTTAGGCCATTGGACTGTAGGCTGCCGAGAGGGAATATGAGGTACTGCTCCTCCAGTTTGCAGGTGGCGTCATTGTGACACTGGACGAGGCCCAGGATGGACATGTCACCCGGGGAGTGGGAATGGGAGTTAAAATGGTTGGAGACCGAAGGGTCTAGACCTGAAATGTCAGCTTTCCTGCTCCTCTGATGCTGCTTGGGCTGCTGTGTTCATCCAGCTCTACACCTTGTTATTGGAGACCGGAAGGTGTTGTCAGTTGTCGCAAAAGCAGGGTGTTCCCCTACTGATGGCTGTCCTGGCGGAATCACACTCTGCAGCTGACAAAACGGAAGGAACAGAGCAGGCAGGTCAGCAGAATGAAGCTCCTGCATCTGAAGTAAGGGTAAAGGAAAGAAGTATAAAGGAACCTGTGAGTTCCTTATTCAAACCAGACACCAACAGGCATGGTGGCTTTGACAAACCTTATATTTGAAAAATTGTACGCATTGACTGTCTACATCTCCTCCCTAGAGGAATCACTGCTGTACACCAAGAAGCCACCTTATGCTTGCTATCACAATAATGCAGTGGTCACTTAGCTACTTATTCTTCAGGAACTCTCACAGCTAACCAGGCGATGGAATTAAGACCACCCAACATACATGAATACATTTTGAAGGTCTCAGCATCTATTTAACAATCACTGATTAGTCTGTTGAACCTGGGTCTCAATGAAGGTTGTCAGTTTCTCCATAGGGGAGGCCAAGCAATTGCTCATGTGAAATCTGGCAAAACTCATAGTCTGGATGAACTCTTTAGTGTCAGGGCCAGCTTCCATTGAATATTGCTGAATGTTACTGTGGAAGAGCATTTCATCCCAAAATATCTGTGCTCAACAAAAACAGGGTAAGGAAATTAGTCTCATACCTCATTAATGCCATTCTGAAACAGGTCAAAATGTGCTTTGAAATATCCATTCTCTTAACATATTTATTAGCCCAAATCCTCCAATCTGGATTGGGTGCTCCATGTGATCAGTCAGGTAACACATCTGTGACCTTTGCAATCAATCCAACTTCAACTTTACTTTCAGATTCTTTTCAAATTCATGTTACTGCTATGAAATAAGGTGATTGCATCTCACATAATTTATGTGCCTCAAACTTGCCTACAATATCTACTGTATCCTCTCCAGATACCAAAACAGTATTTGTGACGCAGCCAGACCTTCCTTTCACACAGATTGTTTCAATATCAAACCCAATACCAACATGTTTGGGCCTGGCAAGAAATTCAAACCCATTGTTCAGAAGTCTGTACAGAAAGATGAGTGCTTACACAGTTCTCTAATGGAAGCTATCTAATCAGGCAAAGCAAAGAATGGCTTAAAAAAATTTCTGATACTGTGATAAATGGTAACCTTAAAAAAGATCTATTTATTGCACCAGAGAATGAACACTCTGTACCTTTGGCATCAATTGGAGCACACAGTGGAATTACAAAACTGAAACAGAAAACTTCTGCAGTATCAAAACAGCTACAGGATAAAGGGGAATATTCTCAAACAGGACAACCAAACACTGCATCTTGTGCTCCTCCTCTTCCAGATTCTCCAAAAACTAAACTACGAATATAGAAGAGGCATGAACTGCATTATTAGAAGCAATTCAGTCTGGCACCGGTGCAGCTCCCTTTTAGGACTCCCAAACGTGTGGGAGACAGTTATAACTGGGAAAAAAGGGAGAACTGGAAGCCAGGTTTCTGCACTGTGCAAGTGCACTGAACATTGTAGAAGCGTTAACTCTTTGTGGTCTAGTTTGAATGCACCTTTGTTTGTTGGTTGCTGAATATCGCCTCACATAATTTGTATCTTTTTGTTTCCTGGAACTTGAGATCTGGAGATACTTTGAAGTTGAGTCAGCATTTTGGGAATGTCTGGTGATTTGAAAGTCTATTGTGTGCCTGTATCTGTGTGGAGCATGTACGGTTAGTGTAATGACCTTTTAAGAAACCATTAGTGGTTGTGTAAAGCCAAAACTTGCGAAATGCTGATTCAAAAATTTGGTTCGTAAAGCTTGGTAAAAATTTAACTTTTTGGAATTGGCTCCATGTTGTGTTTGGATTCAGTAAATTTTGGAGTCAGGGTGGCATGGTGGCTCATTGGTTAGTACTGCTGCCTCACAGCGCCAAGGAGCCGGGTTTGATTCGACCTTCAGGTGACTGTCTACATGGAGTTGGCACATTCTCCCCGTGTCTGTGTGGGTTTCCTCCGGGTACTCTGGTTTCCTCCCACAGTCCAAAGATGTGCAGGTCAGGTGGATTGGCCGTGCTAATTTGTCCATCATGTCCAGGGGTGTGTAAATTAGGTGGATTAGACATGGGGAAATGTAGGGTTACCGGGAAAGGGTAGGTGGATGAGTCTGGGTGGGATGTTCTTGTGACTAAACCAGTAGGTGAAATTGAAATATATTAGGGCTGTTAGTGTATGTGGAAAAAACACCGAGCTAAGACACAGGTGATGGAGGAGTCTGTGGATAGGAAATTGAAAAAAAACACAAATGAAGAACCTGAATCTGGAATATACTGATTTTAGAGCAAATTATGTAAATAGATTAACTGACCAAGAATGTAGACGATATTCTGGTCACCTCAATCAGGTGGCACCACTTGCTTGTTCCTTTACGGCCTAGACAGTACATAGTGTGTGTGTGTGCACGTGCGCACAACCCGTGATGTATTGTTTCTATATATATATATTTAAGGTAGGTCCCCAAAGGGAACTGCAATCATTAATTTGACGATACACCCTATTGTTGTATTCTTTGTATTGATGCTAGTTATTTTCATTGTAGTTTTAATCTAGTGTAGGTGTTATTGTACATTCTTGTGTGGCTGTCGCTGATTTGCGTTTGCATCTGCAATTCTAACATGCGCTGTCATATATCATTGGGGTGGATTGTATAGGATAGGCTGAAGGACTAAAATTGTTGATGATACTCAACAAACTGCATGACCTTGGATGAGTGCCACAGACAGCACAATTAAGAAACTTGTTTTCTGTACGAGCCAGCTGTTTTGTCTGTTGTATCTATTGTTTTCTGTCCTGGTTGTTTTGTGATACTGTATGAGAGAGTGAGAGTTTCGTTCCGTGGCTGATGGACTTAACATAAGACCGGGATCGTGAATGGTGCCAGGAACGAACCTAAGCCTCTAGACCAGCCATTGATCAAGGGGTCCCCAGAGGGCAGAGGGACATGAGACTTGTTGCTTTTTTTCTTTGCTTCCATTTATTATTACTGCTATAATCATTTATTATTACTATTATAATAATTTATTATTTAATAAACATTTGTATTTAAGCAAATTGCTGTTGTTGAGCCTTCTCTTAACCTGAATCTGAAAGAATCACTTAGGCACATGCTGCGATCCAACACATCTATTCTGTCTTTTCCTGTTAATAGCTTGAATACTTCAATCAGATCAACCCTTAACCATCTAAATTCTGGAGAAAACAGGCCTAAATTGTATAATCATTCCTGGTAAGTAAACTCCCGACGTCCAGGTATCATTCTTATAAACCTACATTGTACTTCGTCCAAGGCCAACATATCCTTCATAAAGTGTAATGCCCAGATCCGCTCACAGTTCTCCAAGTGAGGTCTAAGCAGGGTTTGTATAACTGCAACATAACTTCTACATCCTTGTACTGTAGCCCTCAAGATAATAAAGACCAGCATTCCATTAGCTTTCTTGATTAATTTTTGCACCCGTTTGTGACGTTATAAAAATCTATGCATCTGAACCCTTCCAATCCCTTTAGATATCCACTATACTTAACTTCTTACCATCCGGAAAGTACCCTGATCCATACTTCTTCAGTCCAAATTGAATAATCTTACATTTGCTTATAATGAACTCCATACCACAGTTTTGCCCATTCACTTAGTCTATCAATATCCCTTTGTAATTTTA